AAGCTTCTCAGGCAGGAGGAGAATGGGAAGCCCCAGCCCTCCCAAACCCCATTTACCTTGGAAAACCCTCAAGGGTTTCCTCCATGGAGAGCAGAGCTGGGATTTCGCCCTTCCCAGGCTGAGTCCCAATGGTCCCAGTGTTGGAGCATTAAATTTCTGGCCAGTCTGAAGCTTCTTTTCCCTTTATGCAACCACAGGGGCTCCTCTTTTGTTCTTCTGGACTAGGATCATGGGGACTGCTCTATGGCACCCTTGAGCGGGGTGGCTGCAGGGGAGGGTGGGATGCAGGATGCGGGTACCAGGGGGCTGATGCTGCCTGTCCCTTTCTCCCACAGATGATGTCCATGCTGCGGATGGGCGGCAGGTCTGCCGGCGCCACGAGCTCTATGTCAGCTTCCAGGACCTCGGCTGGCTGGTACTTGTCTATGGGGAGAAGTCAACACCAAACCCCATGCTGCTGCCCATGGCCAGCAGCAGAGCGAGGCAGCCCCATCCGGGAGCTGGGAAAGCAAATGGGAATCGCCACAACCCCAAACGCCACCGGTGGCCAATGGTTCAATGGGAAAACCAAACTGAGCCCTTGCTGCTGGCACAGCCACCCGGGGAGGAGCCCATGGGGGTGGTTTGGCAGGAGGGGATGGATGAAAGGGCACAGAAAGGGTGAAGCCCATGGCTGAGAGAGTTGGGGCTGTTCAGCCTGGAGAAGTGAAGCTGCGTGGAGACCTCAGAGCAGCTTCCAGTGTCTGAAGGGGGCTATAGGGATGCTGGGGATGGGGACTCTTCACTAGGGACTGTAGTGATAGGACAAGGAGTAATGGGTTAAAACTGAACCAGGGGAAGTTTAGATTGGATCTAAGGAAGAAGTTCTTTACTGTGAGGGTGGTGAGGCACTGGAATGGGTTGCCCAGGGAAGCTGTGAATGCTCCATCCCTGGCAGTGTTCACGGCCAGGTTGGACAGAGCCTTGGGTGCCATGGTTTAGTGTGAGCCCATGGCAGGGGGTCGGAACTGGATGATCTTAAGGTCCTTTCCAACCCGAACTAGTCTATGGTTCTATGATAACCAGGGAAAACCCTTTGTATGTTGCAGGACTGGGTGATCGCTCCACAGGGGTACTCAGCCTACTACTGCGAGGGGGAATGCGCCTTCCCCCTGGACTCCTGCATGAACGCCACCAACCATGCCATCCTGCAGTCCCTGGTCAGTGCAAGCCACTGGGGTGAACACAGAGGGAGTGGTTGGAGGCCAATGGGTCCTAATGGAGAGCTGGATTTGGGGCAGGGAATGGGGCTAGGTTGGAGCGTGCAGCTCAGCTGCACCTCCCAGTAAAGCATCTGGATGGGCTGGCGCCTGCTGTGGGCTCACCACAAGGGGCCATAAAGGCAAACACGGAGAGAGCAGCATGAGGGCACACGGGGTCAGCAGCTCTGCCCATCGACCCGAGCCCCAGGGGCCTAACAGGGGGATGCTGTAGTGCTGGTGCTCCTCCACCTCTTGGTTTTGTGACTTGACACGATCCCGCTGGGGGTTAGCAGCAGCAGGCAGGGTAAAACCAGGTGCTTTCTGCTGGGATAACAGCAACGTCCCGTTGGAGCAGGCTCTGGGATGAGCCCCGGTGCTCACAGGAGCCCCCAGTTCCTCCCCACCACCAAGGGCATCGTGTCTCCAGCATCCTCCTCACCAGCCACATGAGGGTTTCATCCCGGTCCCCAGGGAGCACCTCTGCTGCTCAGCGCCCAAACCTCGGGCTCAGCAGATTCCAAGCGGGAAGGCTTCAACGCCCCATTTTTCCCAAACCCATCCCGCATCCCAGCCAGTGCTTTTTAATGTCTGGAATTTCCTGCCCTGTGAGTGCTGCATTTCCCAATGGCAGAGGCCACACCAGCTCCGGGGTAATTACAGGGAGCGCCGAGGCCTCGCATGAGACTTTGAAGGCGGGTTTAATCCTCGCGCTAATGAAGCTGCTGGGGCTGGGTGCGATGCTGCAGCACGGGGAGGGGGCCCCAGCACCCACCCAGCACCTCCGAACCCAACGCTCTTCCCAAACCAGAGCCGTTCGGGCAGGATGTGACTCACCTGGCACCCGGATCCAGCCCTTCTGGGAAGCACTGGGGCACAGGAGCGGTGCCAGCCCCAGCCCGTGCTGCAAATAGCAGCGTTGGGCAGGAAAATCCCGGACTTCCGAGCCGGGAGAGCAAAATGAGTCGCACATGGTGGGTGAAGGCAGGGGCCAGCAGCCTGCAGTGGATGCCTGGGATAACGGGTGTCCTGAGCCGGGCATGAAGGAGCAGTCAGAGAGGTGCAATGGGTTCAATGCGGGGCAGCGCTGAGCCCTGATGGAGAATCCCTATTGCAGCAGCAAAGCACACAGGGAAGCTTGGCACAGCCCTGATTGATTTTTAGCCATTTATTGACGTTTATTTATAGGGAGAAAAGAGCCCAGAAACGCCAGGTTCCTGCAGGGGCTGCCTGGCCCTTGCAGTGCCCCGAGCCCTGATCCAACACAAACTGCAGCGAGGGCTGCCCAAGGCTCAGGGTAAATATTTTTGCAGGAAGCTGGAAATAATCTCCCCATTCACGCAGGCTTTTCATGCAGTTAAGAGCTGGTTCGATGTTTTCCTCCTGCCCGGATCACTGAAGGGCTCCATCCATCCTTTAGGTCCACCTGATGAAGCCTGAGGCCGTGCCCAAGGCGTGCTGTGCGCCCACGAAGCTCAGCGCCACCTCTGTCCTCTACTACGACAGCAACAACAACGTCATCCTCAAGAAGCACCGGAACATGGTGGTGAAGTCGTGCGGCTGCCACTGACGGCCGCGTCCCATGGCCACCGGAGCAACGGGACACCGGGGATGTGGGATCCCATGGGCTGCATCCTAGCAACGCCCGTTCAGGATAATGAGTAATAAAAATAACCCCCTCCCACCCCTTCCTAGAAGTGGATGTAAATAATAGAGAGCTCTTATTCTCTTACTGCACTTCATGGGACACATCCATATAGAGGAAAGGGAGGATTTGTGACTGGTTACGTGTGCGCTGGCTCTGGCTGATGTGTTTTCCCCTCGCTGCAGTCTCTGATGGAGGCAGTCGGGGCTCAGGGGTAATGAGGACAAGGTTGCTGTGGGATGGAGCTGGGTCTTGTCCTGTCCATCCACCTCGTCCCCTTAATGAAAACAGCAGCAGGCAGGAGCCGGCTGCCTCCCCTGCTCCTGTTTACTTCAGGTTCATAAACCTGAAGGGGGGAGAAACGAAACTCAGAATGCACCTTGAGCTACAACACTGCTATAAAATAAACACCTCGTCTGGAAAGCAAACAGGGAGTTCCCCTTGCTCTGCGTGCTCTGAGAAATGCCACAGCACAGCAGCGCTCTGTTCAGGGCGTGCGGTTTCGCAACGAAAACACACTCAGCATTGCCTAAAAGGGTCGCTGTTTGCCCACACCCAGCCCTGCCAAGCTGGTGGGATGCAGGTTTGGGGCCAGGCAGCGTCGCCCCGGATGGGAGCGTGGCTGCGCTCACCCCTGGCCGCGTCCCGGGGGCTCGCAGTGGGGCTGGGACCGCAGCTTCCCCGCGCTGTGTGCACGGTTCTCCCTTATTTGCTCTGCTTTTAAAAGGAAAGGGCCTGGCCTCGCAGCTCGGGTACCCAGGGAACCTTGTGTCACTGAACAAACATCCTGGCCTAGCCACAGGCAAAGATCCCCACAAACCCACCAGCATCAGGTCTGCCCCGTGCCGGTGCCCTGCTTCCCGAGGAAAGGTCCCACTTCTTCGGGAAGAATTGATCTGCTGACTGCGTTCCACCTGAAATCCAGCTCAGGACGTGATCCTGGCTCTGTGCAGCAAGAGAAAAGCCAGGGCTCAGTGATTCCCGCATGGAGCAAGGGCTCCCCCTGGTCCAGGGGTTGTTGAAGGTGACTGCAAGGATTTGGCCTTTAAATCTCAGCTTTTTGGAGACAAGGAGGGAGCAAGGGAAGGAAATGCGGGGTGGGTTTGGCTCTTTGTCAGGGATCCCATCCGGGTGCCCGGATCTCGCCTTGCCCCAGTTGTAGGGCAATGCACAACCCCCGACCAGTGTGGAAAAGCAGGAAGTGAATAGAAGCAGCCTGTGGTTATCATGGAAAACAAACCTGCCCTGGGAGCAGCCGGGCTGGCAAACCTGGCAATTCCCAATAGCCCAGAAAACATCTCCCTAAACCCCAGCCACGCACCCCTCATCCTCCCCTCTGGTCTGGCATCCCCCATCCCTGCTTCCAACCCCACACATCCCTTCCTCCCCAGGAACACGCATTCCCAGAAGTACCCAGTGCCATCATTTCATGGGAAACCCCCAATCAATCACTTTCCCACTGATGGGAACTATAAAAGTACGTGGCTATTCCCACTTGGAAAATTTAACCACTTCCCCCAGCCTCATCACTTAGTCCTGTTCTTCTGACAACCAACCAAAGGCCTTCTTCATTTCCTGGGGCTTCTTGTCCCAGCCTTGTTCTCCCACCCACATCCCAGTAAACACCCCCTCTCAGACGGGGATGGAGCTGGACCAGGCTGGCTTCCCAGGAGGACGTCCACCAGCCATGGACCTGCCTCCCTCTGCTGATGGGAAAGGAGACTACAGGGCCAGAGACACGCCAGAACACGTCCACATGATCCTGCTGTGGAAGAGGCTCAGAGATTCCCTCGGCTCTCCTTGCCCCAGCGCACGTAGCTCCCATGCAGCCAGGATTTAGGCACCAGAGTTGAGAAGACGAGGAAAGCACTAAAGCAAAGACCACCCTCACCCAATGAGAATTCAACAGCCGGGGGCAGGCCCTCGGTTATGTGTAAAAGTAGGTTTTATTTTGACCAAACCAAGTCCTTCTGAACACAGCAGCAGGAGCAGCCCTGCCCGGCCTGGAAGCGGTTTATCCCTGCAGGGATCACCCCCTGCAGCACGGCCCATGGGCACGTTCACACCAACAGCGTAGCAAGGATCGCCCCGGGAGCTGGGCACTGCTGGGGCACCACGGGGCCACCCCATCCCAGCCCGGCTCAGCCCATGCTCAGGGGCACTCTCCGCAGTCCGAGATGATCACCTTCTGCTTCGGCTTCCCGTCCTTAGTGCCCTGAGCCTTGGGGAACAGAGCAGCAGGAGTCAGAGGCACGAAGCCCAAGGGTGGCAGGAGGCTGGCTCTGCTCGCACCTACCTCGATCTGCCGCACCACGTCCATGCCCTCCGTCACCTCCCCGAACACCACGTGCTTCCCGTCCAGCCAGTCTGTTTTCTCACACGTGATGAAGAACTGGGAGCTGTTGGTGTTTGGGCCCGAGTTTGCCATCGATAACAGCCCTGTGATCATAAAGGGCAGTGGTGGGATGCTGATGCTTTGACCCAACCCCATTCCCACACCCTGCAAAACACTGCCAGTTTTAAGAGAGCCTCTGGATATTAAACTCCACAAACTACTGGAAACAACACAAACACCTGCAGGCACGAAAGATGGAAAGGGGTAGAGATTGCTCATCCATTTATAGCTGCGGTAACAGAAAAGCTGCTTGCATGGAGATAAACCTGCTTGCTTTTTACTGCGCTTCATAATCGCACCGTGACTCCTTCAAACTCAAAGGGAAGCAGCTTTGAAACTCTTTGTCCATTATGCAGCACTGGAAGTTCACAGTGTGCGACCACAAGTGGTTTGCCAACAGAGGCTGTAATTCAGAGCTGCGACCATCAACGAACCAGCCCAAGGGTGGCCCCTAGATGACATTGAGCCCCTTTGTTCCTCAGCCCCTGCCCAGGAGATGGCTCTACCTGGCCCCGTGTGTTTCAGAATGAAGTTTTCATCATCAAACTTCTTCCCGTAGATGGATTTGCCCCCGGTGCCGTTGTGGTTGGTGAAGTCGCCAGCCTGGCACATGAATTGGGGGATGATGCGGTGGAAGCTGCTCCCTTTGAAGCCAAAGCCTTTCTCATGGGTGCAGAGGCAGCGGAAATTCTCTGTCCGGGCCAAGGGGAGAGAGGTGAGAGCTGTGCCTGCTGGAAGGCTCCACGCCGGGGAGGCTGAGCCACTGCTCACCCACAGTCATGGGCACCACATCCGAGCGCAGGAGGATCTGCAGCCGCCCCGCAGGTTTGTTTCCGATCTTGATCTCCATGAAAACCCGAGGGTTCGCCCGGGATTTCTTGGCAGGAGGCTCACCCTGAGCAGGAAAAGGAAACAAGGAGCTGGGATGACATTCCTCTGCTTTGCCTCCAGCGGCAGTTAGGCCCCACGCTCTCAGCCTTCGGGGCCGCAGGGACGCAGACAGCTCCGCACGGTTTTCTTACCTCCTGCACCTCTTTTTTGGAGGCCTCTGCTCCTCCCTCCTCTGTGTTCTCTTCCAAAGTCTTCCCCGAAAACTTCTTCAGCCAGTCATCATCCGACCAGACTGCGATGGCAAAAGGAAGGCTCAGAGCACAGGAACCAAAGGGCCACACGGAAGCACACACATGCGCACACATGAGCACACACGTGAGCACACACATGAGCATACACATGCCTGCACAGGTCAGGGCGCAGCCTACCCCAGGAGACACAGCATGCGGGCAAAGAAGAGACAAAGTCACCTCTTCTTCCTCCCAGAGGTGCCTCCACGCAGGGCAAGCTTGTGGCCTGCTCGTTGCCACTGCCCATCACACTGCACGAGTGCTTGGCATGCCTTGGCCCCCTCTGCTTACACAGATGTGGCCAGCTGTGTGTGCCATTTTCCTGGCATGGTGTGCATGCTGTGCCCTCTGCCAGCAGGCATGAAGATAATCAGAAGTGCAGCCAAGAGGGTTTCCACCCAAGGAACGAGGGAGTATTTTGGATTATGTGGTTATTAAGTTACTTGGATGCTGCTCAGACACATGAGCTCCCCAGATGGGAAGCAGAGCAAAGCTCTCTGCCCTAGGGCCTGATGGCTGATGCCCAAAGCTCTCAACACCCATGGGGATGCTCTCCCCTCCCAGACACCAACTCACCAGGTCTGGATGATCCCTCTTTAATTCGCATGGGTCTGGCCAAGTTCACCCGAATTGTCCTGCCAAAGAGCTCGGACTCGTTCTGCCGAGGAGAAAAGCACAACAAAGCCCACCAAAGGGTATAAAAATCACTGTGCCCCCCAGCTCCCCATAGAGGAGAATCACAGAGCTCTTGGTGTAGCTCACACCATTCAGGGCCTCACTGCTGGGAAGGCAGCAAAACCACTTGTCCCCCTGGGCGAACAGGGTCCCTACCATGTTGTCAATCGCTGCTGCTGCATCCTGCCAAAAGAGGTGAAAGAAGATCATTATTGTATCACCTCTTCTCTCCCTTTCAAAGCAAAGCTCAGCACATACATGCAAAAGAGACTGCCCAGGGACTGTGCTCCAAAACCTCATCTATATATGAACCAATGGATCTCGCAGGAGCTGTACCCAATCCAGTACATGGGACTCCTTTTCCCACATTTGATCCCATAAACCCATTTTATTTAAGATGCTTTACTGCTGACGCCAGCGTTTGAGAGAGGAAGAGAGATCCTGCGTGTGAAGCCCACGACAGGCTGTAAGATCCTGGCAGTGTTCAAGGCCAGGTTGGACACAGGAGCTTGGAGCAAGCTGCTCCAGTGGAAGGGGTCCCTGCCTGTGGCAGGGGTTGGAGCTGGATGAGCTCTGAGGTCCCTTCCAACCCGAACCAGGCTGGGATACTATGAAATACACAAAGCCAAGAAACCCGCCCGAGAGAGCAGTGCCCGTGCTTCAGCCCATAAGAAAGTGGGAACTTGGAAAAGCAGAGCAGCACCAGAGGTAACCCCCGCTTGCTGCCCCCAACCGCATCCACCAGGAGGAAGCTCCCCCCCCGAAGCCCCGCTTAGGAAGCACCCTCGCCCCTGCCTCACCTCTGCCAGCTCGAACTCGATAAAGGCGAACCCGCGGTGCTTTTCTGCAGAGGAAGAAGCGAGCGGTCACGGGCAGCACCGACACCCGCTCCCGCGGGCGCCCAGCGGCGCCGTCCGGGGCACGCACCCGTCTCGTAGTCCAGCGGGATCTGGATGTCGGTGATGTCGCCGAAGGGGATGAACGCGGCGTGCAGCACCTTCTCGTCCACCTCCTCCGCCAGCCCGCCTGCGGGCGGACACCGGTCACGGACACCGGACACGGGTCCCGGGCAGCGGCCGCGGACACCGAGCACGGGCACGGCCACGTACAGCAGCCCCGGCACTCACCTACGTACAGCACCCTCTTGGTGGCCGCCATCTTCGCGCCGGAACCACGTGACAGTCGCGACCCGGAATCACGTGACTCCCACCCCACGGCTCCGGGGCACCGGCGGGAGCGGGGTATGGCTGCCGGGGCAAGGGCAGCGCTCTCCATTGGAACGGAGCACCCAAAGGGGCTCAAAGCACGGACTGACCCCACTGCTGGCATGCGGCGGCGTTAGCGGGTGAAGGTGGAGGAAGCAGTACCCAGGAAGCACGAGACGCACCCGACTGGATCCCTTTCACGTCAACAGATTCTCCAAGAGCAGCCAAACAACGGAACACCAAAGGGCAGCAGAGCTGCTCTGCAGCGGTGGGGGGATGCAGAGGAAGCCCCCACACGCTCCCTGCCCTTGACAAACAGCTGCCCCCCAGCCTCAAGCAGCCTTTCTCCACAGTCAGCAGTAACAACTCCAATCACACTCTTCACGTAGCAACCATACACTCAAAGTTGACTGCACTGAGCTCTATCACACCACTTAGCAAGTGAAGATAACAGAGTGGAATTTTATTCCTTTATTGATAAATGCTTTCCAGACTTTCCAAACTGGACTGCTGAGTTTAAAACCAAAACCACAAAATACTTCCAACCTAAAATCCCAGGCATCCTCCTCAGAAGACACAAAGGGTAGCTCTGTTCTGGCCACAACGGAGAAGCTTGCGAGCCCAGTTCTGGTTTGGGAGATCTACAGCTTCAGACCTGGCTTTTTAAATAAGACCTTAAAGATTAATTTACAAAATGCAATAAACTATGTGATAGGATGCATGGCATTGAGATCTGCAGGACAGGGAGGAGCCTCCAAACATCTTCAGCTGATGGCTACAAAGGGGCTATTTGGCTTCTTTGCATCCTAGAAGAAAAGGGGCAGAGGTTACCCACAGCCAGCACACCTCAATCCAGAGAGCCAAGCTCCCCACAGCACAAGCCATGTATCATACAGCTCCAACATGAGCTTATTATATTAATATTTAATACATGTGTTAAAGTATACTTTAAGTGACTCCAATATCATTTGCAAGGTGTGGAAAGGCTGTTAACAGCTGTGGAAAATACCCATTTCTGATCATCTGACAAGAAACTCTTAATTCCTTAACAGAGGAGCTAGCAACTGGAGCCACTGAGGAAGGGAGGGAAGTACCATTCTGCACCCCTGTGAGCTGGGACATCTGACCACAGCAGCATCACAAAAAGAACTGAAGCTGTCAATTCTAGACAACCCACAGAAAAATGGATCATTAAAGCAAGAAGAGGCATTCAAATAATCAAAAACCTTATTAGGGTTAAACAGGAGCCAGCTCCAAACACAGGAGATGGCATTTGCCTGCACAGACCCATGCAGTGAAAGGACATTTCCAACACCACCACCTTAATACACACTGTAGGCAGATGATTGTCAGGCTAAGGAACAGGCATGAACACACTGTGTTGACCTCAGAGTCACTGAAGCATCTTGTGTCTCTTTTTATTTCCCAGATTAGCAGCTTCACAAGACTCAATATGTTAATCCTTCCTTGACGTGTCAACTGCTAGGAACATGTCAGGGACTTACCATCTTTCTGATGCTTAATGAAAGTAAGATTTCTGAGGAGTATTTCTAAAGCTTCCACAAAATAAGGATTACATTGGGGGAAAAAACACATCAGGGAGTTGGGTTGAGCTGGATTTTATTAAAGAATGGAGTAAACTCAGACAAGTGCTGCCCATGGGTCTCCAGCCTGGCTGCATTCACAAACCATCACACTTTATTCCCTCCGATGTGGAAGCTTTTAAGTGAGTTTGAGGACAGAGACACTCACCAGTCTTCCCGGTTTAAGAGGTAGCAGCAACCACGCCCACCTTCTGGGCAGCTTCCTTCTTGGCTTGGTGAGCCTGCAGCACTGCAACGGCCTCCTCCACCTCAGGAGACAATTCAGGCATGAGAGCAGCTCTCCTGAGCAGAGCTCCCCACCCCACCTAACAGAACAAGCCATCTACCTTGGACCGGAGGGACTCCGGAGACTCTAGCATGTGCAGCAGCTCTGAGTTGTCAATCTCTAGTAGCATTCCTGTGATCTTCCCTGCCAGGCTGGGGTGCATAGCTTGGATCAGAGGGAACAAACGTTCTCCTGGGGGTTACAAAAGAAGGGAGCTCAGACAGCTAAGTTTCAATTACAAAGTCATCTTTGAAACCTGATGAGTTTCCCTTACCCAGCATCTGTTTCTGCTCCTGGGGGGGGGGCAGCAGCCAGCATGGAGGCGGTCAGTGGCTCCTGTCCTTGCACATGGACTGCAGGCTGAGGTGCCTATGGAAGGGCAGACATGAGGGTTCTGAATCAGGTACTAGGCTGATTGCTTCACATTTAGAGACAATCAGACAACATCCATTCCCTCCTTCAAAAACACAACCTTTGTCAAGCCTATAGCAGACTGATGTTTCAGGAAAGGACAGGCAAGGTGCCCTTGGTTCACAAACATGCTCCCTTCCAAGTTGTGAACTCAGTGTCACACATGGGCACTGTAAGTATCTTGCAGACACTGGATCAAAAAAACATTGCAACTGAGAAAGAGCAACATCCACACCTGCTTTTTTTTACTACACAGGTTTGTGGGAAAAGCAAACTGACCAATGACCCCCGAGAGAGAATGGGACAAAGAGGTTGGAGAACAAATGGCTGCAAAATGGGAAAGCAAAGAACCAAGAAAAACACCCTTACAGCAAATCTGGGTGGAAAACGGTTTGCAAGTACAAGGCAGGTGAAACAACTGCCTCTGGCAAAGGTACAACCACCAGGTTTTTGAATTCCAAATCACGATGCTTGTCTGGGTTATAAAAGTAGCTTCAGGTTTCTGCAGAAACACTTGAGATGCACATAAACCCTGCTGGACTGCAGCGAGTGGAGAGAGTCCCCAGGCCAGCCCCTCATGGTACCTGCAGGGGCTGCACAGCCGGGTGCGGGCTGCGGACACTGGAGGCGTATTTGTAGGGAGGAACTGCTCTGGGAGCCGGGGCAGCCACGGGCGGGCGAGGGGCCAAGCTCTGTGCTGCAGCGCCCACTCCTGCAAGAGAGGAAGAGACCAGATCTACAGACACCTGCAGCAATGTGCAAGTTAGGATGCCTGCTGTTAACTGCTGAAGCCAAACTACGCTCAGGAGAACTTCTTTAGGAATCAGTCTGCAAAATGCAACTGGCTACTTCAGGGGAACGAGCTATTCTCCCTGAGAGTAACCCAGGGATTCCACATGTGGCACTTCAGGTACTTTCTAAACTATTCACGGGTATAGAATTTTTAGATGTTCTACTCTGAAAATGATATCCATAACTTAGAGCCTTCTTTTTTTCCTCTTTGAGTGGTAAATGTTGCAGAGGTGTAGGAAAGAGATCCAAACCAGTGGAGAACAACCCATCTGGATTTCCATTGCTGTGCACCAACTGCCCCCAGACCTGCAATGCACAGCGAGCAATAGGGAAGACTCAGGTGCTGTCTCTGCCCATTGAGTCTAATGGTCTTTGGTTATCTGTATCTGACAACCATCTTTGGAAGCAGAAGTCAGATCTCGAGAGCATCCTCGCCCCTCACAGACAAGGGGAGAGCCTGGAAGCAGACACCTTACCAACTCGCTGGGCAGCGGCAGGGAGGCCACGAGAGGCCGGGGCATTGCCAGCAGGGGCCAGGTGGCGCAGTGCTGGCCGTGGTCCAGACTGGCGCATGGCATTTGGCATTCCCTGGAAGCCTAATGGAAGAAATGAGGGGAAATCCTCAAAACAGAACCGACTGGCAAGTCAGGACAGTCAGCTACAGGAAGCAGGTTGGGGTTGTGTACACCAAGGAGAGCATGCGCGTTGGTCTTGTTGGAAAGTACAGCCAAAAAGGTCATACAGCCAAAAATGTTTCTCTCACCTTGAGGTCTTCCTCCTTGCTGCCAGCGTGGGTTGGGTCTCATCTGTGCCATTTGATTGGGTGCATAATAAGTGGGTCTGCTCTGAGCCTGAAGATAGATTAGACAAGCTCAGAGACAACACCTAAGTGAGTAGCAAACACTGCTCACAACATGTTTTTGGCAGCTGTTGCCAGGACTCAACACTCAAGTCACCTTAGGCAGTGAAGTCACAGAATTAACTCCACTGCCTGCACCCCTCATTAGGAGTTACTTGTTTATAGGCGCAGAAAGGCTCAGTGACATTACTGCAGCTGAACCACCACAGCTCCAAGGCGTTCAAAATCCACACTAGCTCAGCTTACCTGGGGCACAGCAGGCATGAAATAGCCCCCAGCAGCAGGCTGGAACTGGTTAATGATTGTGTTGGCAGGCAGGGCTCTCATCCCAGCGATGCGCTGCATGTACTGGTTGGTCAGATGGGCCTTTCGCTCCTCTTTCCTTTGGGCAAGTGCCACATACAACGGCTTTGAGCCCACAATTCGCCCGTTCATCTCTGTCACAGCTTTTGTGGCTTCCTCTGGAGAGGAAAAGCAGACAAAGCCAAACCCTTTGCTCCGTCCATCTTCCAGCATCACCTGCAGTAAAGATCAATTGCTAGTGGAGCACCAGAACAAGAACTTAAGCTACGAACCCACGTTTTAACACATCACATTTCGGGCAGGTTGGATGTAACTGTTGCAGAGGTGTAGAGGCAGGTACCCACTGAGAAGTCACCTGCCTGGATTTACTTTGCCTTTCTGTACGCACCATGTGTCCCCAGGCCCACACTGAGCAGTAAGGAATGGGAAAGATTTGGTGCAAGCTCTAAAGGAAAATGCCATGTCATGCTTACTGGGAGTCACCTTCAACGAGCACTTTTCCCACTTCCTGCCTCCTCTTTTGATGAGGGAATGAAGCAATTTTTCAGTAAGATCCCACCAAGACCCAAAGCCCACATGTTCTCAGGATCACAATGATCAGGGAACAGAAGAACTGCCCTTCAATTCCAGGTCAGATACAGTTCCTTCTTCAGGCTTTAAAATCCAAATAGCCCCCAAGCCCACAATACCTTGGCACTTGTTATTGAGCCAAAAGGTGAGAATTCCTTCCTCAGTTTTTC